TAGGGAAATTCACTAAAAATGTGTTACTTTATTTTTTTATACTTTTATTTACTAATTTAAAACTTATTTATTTTGACATACTGTAACTAATAATTAGCATTTTTCACCAAGTAACCTTTTGGTTTACTGTTATAAGGAAAACTTTTAATAAAAATTGTAGAGAATAAAATGTTCTTTCAAATACACTAAAAGGGTTTACCTAAAAATTTTCACCATCCTACTCAAGAACCAATAGAAGCATTCGATACATTTTCGCTCAGACGCTTGACCCGGCCGTCACATATTTTTGTCACATTTCCCTTAAAGCTTCAAAGTTTTGTTTGAACGTTGTGGATATAGTAGACAGGAGCATTCACTAGTTAATATTAAGATTAACAGGTCGTCAAGTTTATCTTCAGTAACTGATAGTGTATTACCGCACCCAAATCCTGCACAGTTTTTGCACATATGAGAATAATATAGCTTCTTCGGCACAAACAATACTTCTCGCAATTGCCTTTGCAGTTGCAGAATATAAGATTTAGTAGATTTTGATGAGCAGGTCGTTGAAGAGGTGTTACAGGTATTAGACCCTGACTAGCACTAAGCTTCCAGCCCCAGTCCGTAGCTAGGAGATTAACACCTTTCCACTGCTGAATTTGATGATAAGCCCTCAGGGTGTATTGGGGGGCTGCTGCTTTGGTTGGGGGAATAGAGGCGAGGTTGAAATTTGCACTAAGTCCCTGCTTTGCTATCGTTCTTATGTACATGCGGTGCCTTGCAATGTTAAGGTTAGTTACTTCTCTACTAACACCATATATTTTGGCTATACTGACGGATTCCTGAAGTCCTGCATCGTTTTGGAGTTTCTCCTACGCGGTTTTTCCTTTGCTGAATATGGCATAGGTTGTATCGCAACCTGCGTGAATGCGTGTAGCAGGAAAAGAAAATATTGTAACTCACCTAACCTTCTTGCAGATTCCTAATATTAAAAATGCGGTGAGGTTTGTTTCCTTTGGCAGGAATGAGCATGAATACGTTGCATCGAGTGAGAGTATTCAACGATACAAGAAGGTCTCTTTCTTGTCCCACTAGTACCAAAGTCTTTGTTGGGGAAATATGCAGAGCTGTTGAAACAATGAGAGTGTCTGCGTTAGATGTAGCTTGTGAAACCTGGCATCCCATGTTTGTGAGGTGTACAGTTAATAGTGCAATAAATCTTGATTTGTTGGTGGGGTTAGCAGGGAACTCTTTTTGAAATGTTGGTATTACTAAATCATCCTCATTTTTGACCCTCAAAACTCAAAATGTCCCAATTTCTCTCTAGAACTTTTTAAAGAGATTAAAAAACAAATAATTTAGTATATTAAAGTTTTTTTGTACGGTTAATGGTTATGGAGAAAATTAAAAAAAACTGCAAATTTAAAATTTCCTATGTTATTCTTATGGAGAATATTGTAGAATGTTGTAGTTTGCTTGTTTATGGAAATATATTGATTAAACATGGAAAATTGATCTATTTTATATTAATCTACTAATATTTTACTAAAAACACATTTTATTAGGCTACCTGTAACAGCAAACTTAGGTACTCGTTAAACCTAATGTTATTTAAATAGATTTAATTTAAAATAAATTCAGGCAAATGGAAATTCGCTTAGTCTGCAGGTTCGCTGCGGCGGGGGTATTTTTATATTTAATATATAGCTTGGAGTTTACAATATATTTTTATGCAAACAGGAGGTTTTTAAGTCAATTAGTTTACTAGTAACACCCATTTCCGTAAACGCTTGCATAAATCCAACATGGCCGACTTATTTTTCAAAATGGCGGAAAAGTCCCCATGGGATTTTCTGGGACTTTCTTCTGTGGGTTCAGGAGACCTTAATAAATGATTTCCAACAGGTTTCAACTTTTTTTTTTTTAATTTCCCAAATTTTGCCATTTTGGAGCTAATTGCACTGGACTAGTATCAATGATTAGCATTACACATAGTATAAATAAGTCAACCCTAAGTATGTCTTTACATTTTTATCCAAATGCTGAATTTGCGACACAAAAGCTGAATGTTTACAGCTGTTATGTTAAGCAAATCAATTTATGCCAAAAGCTAGTTTAGAATCTTAACGTCGGCTGCTAGACTTTTTAAAAATTAAAACTTAATTTCTAAAAAACTGGGACCCTAAACTAAAATTATGGCTTTGACATTCCCTAGTTCTCAAAATTATCTTTCTTTCAACACAAAAATCATGAAAATCCGTCGAGTGGTTGATTCAGAATCGTGAAATAAAAAAACACTGTTTCGTTTTAATACTATAGATTTGTTTCTTAAATAATTTTCACTTTTCATTCATTTTTTTTTTTAATATACATTTTTCTCTTTTCTTCATCTACTTCTAAGGGTTGGTTTTTTTATATTTCAAACCGTATGGTTGGATCAATTATAATTCCACTTTTAGATTTTGTGTCATATATTAAAATGTCTAATCTTCTGTTTGATCCACCATCTTCAATGCAATGATTATCACAGAATCAAATTGTTTAGTTGAAACAGCTGTTAAGATTCTGTAATTCCATAACACGGGAAACTCCAACGTTGGGGCACACAGGAGGGACTACGGCTAACATTGAAAAAATTTAAATTATTTTTCTAAATATTGAGTTATAAAATTAACTTTTCAATTATAAAATAATTTTTTTTTTTATGAAATAAATTTTTACAATTTTTAATTATAAAATTTAACTGTCATAACCAACCAAACTGATCTAATGATCAGGCTGATCTGGCTGATTTAATGATCTAACCAACCAAACTTACTGATAATATAAAAAATATATAAGATAAAAATCAAATGAATGTTAACTTATAATTTTTAATTATAAAATTAATTTTAAAATTTAGTATTACAGTAGAGTCCTGCAAACTCGGCACTCGATAACCCGGCAGTCTGGATAACTCGGCCATCACCTGGCTCTTAGTCAGAAAATTAGTGATTTTTTTAGTCACTAGTAGTAGAGTTAGTAGAGTTAATCATGGACTCAAGCCAGCTTAAGTCAAATTATTCACAATTGGTACTAAGGATTTGTCGTACTATATCTGATGACTTAATACTGACTTGTAATATAAATATAAATAAAAAAGGCGGTAAAAAACCTTAAAAACTGTATAGCTCTTATTTTTAACACAAGTTCCTGATAACCCGGCATTTCGCAAACTCGGCACCCTTCCAGTCCACATTACGCCGAGTTTGCGAGACTCTACTGTATAAAATTAAACTGTCATAACCTAACCTAACCAACCAAACTTGCTGATAATATAAAAAAAATATAAGATAAAATCGAATAAAGGTTTACTATTAAAAAAAAGTGCTGTTTATAAATAAAATTATAAATGCATCAAATTCTAACAAGAGATGTACAGTTAAGAAGTATTTGCATTCTAAGCAAAATCTTTGACCATAAAGTTAGACGATGAAATTAGACGGGAGTGACAGTTTTATACGCTACAGTCCTGACGCTTATCCATGAAAGTTTTTTGGCAAGCTAATGTGAGAAAGTACAGTATGTGCCACATAAACACTAAAACAATGATAAACGTAATAAAACACATAATAATGTCCCTGGCTGGATTCGAACCGGAGACCTCCTGAACACCAGTCCGGCGCGCTATCAACTATGCCACGAACGCACCTGGAAACACATCGTCTCGTTACGGTAATCTTGTTGCCTCAAAAGAAGACATTAGTCACTAGAGATATGACGTCACCTTTAGCCATAGTCCCTCCCGTGTACCCATCCGGAAACTCCAGAGCCACTGGGGTGGAGCCCTTTTGACGGATCTGCACTCAAACCAACCTTGAATATGCTTAATAATGCCTAAAAGTTTCATTACAATCTGTCGAGCGGTTTCGAAGTCCATAACGTTCAAATATATATATATATATATACACAAACTTCCTCTTTTATAAATATAGAATATTTGTAACAATCAATGATTTTTTTTACACTTATGAGAATTATTGTTTAGATATATTTTTGTGTAAACAGTAATAAAATATCCCTGCCGCAGCAAACCTGCAGACTAAGCTAATTTCCATTTGCCTCATTATAATTTCACTAAAATATGTTAGAAAATTACCCTATTGACAGGTTTGGAACTATTGTGATAGCTTTTTGTTTACAGTACAAACCATTCAATGGATTCAACATGTTATTTGATTATCTTTAAAATCTATCATTGATTTTGTATCCTAGGTATCCTAAATAAGTGTTTACAGTCTGAGTTAACAAAAACCAATGAATACAAACCCTTTGGAGAATAGTCAGTCTGAATTTTGAGTCGACATCGAGCCTGCCGCTCACCGTTTGTTTCGGTCCAGCTACAGCACCTTTTGCAGTTTGGCGTAGGCTAACTGTCTCGGCACTCAGCTCATCCTAGTCGCGCCAGACCTATCCAGAAACATACTCCAACCAGTGTTCAACATATAACTCAGCTCTACCCAGATAATTTTAGCTCTAGAATAAAAACCAACTCAAAATAAAATAGTGACTTGCCATCTCCTTATTTAGATGTTTCTGTAGTCCATTGGATGTAATGGTTGTTCTTTTTGGAGGGTTGATGAGTTACCTGAAGGACTTTCATTTGCATAATGCAAAATGCCTTTTTTAGTAGGATAAGTATATTTGTTTTAATGTTATTGTAGTAGGATAAGAAGTCTAGTCATTACTTAAAGACTTGTACATACACTCTCGTATGTACACTTGTATATACACTATATGACTTGTATATACACTCATTGTGAGGGGATCACACTGTTCAAAATTATTATTTATATTCTTAAAATCTAAAAATGATTATACATTTTATTATTAGCATTTAAGTTTAGCAAAAATTACATGATATGATCATAATTAAAAACAGGTATTATGTGCTCCTCGATTCTCATTTAATATTATTGATGCCCATTTGTTAAATATTTATTTGTTGTTTGAGGTATGTATTCCATTGATTTTTCTTTTAGGAGATTGAAATAGAGACGTGTCAGCAAAAGGTCAGCAATGAAGAAATTAAAGATGATCTGACCAGTGTCGATACATCATTTACCACTGTCAGAGTAAGTTTATGAATCAATAAAAATTGTTGTACTTTATATATATATTACAAGGGTTATATGTAAATTAAGGTCTCCAGGCGCAACCAAGCAAACTGGTTATCGATTAGTCTTATAATAGTAGTAATATAATTAATAATGTAATTGAACTACTACTAAAATTAATAATATTAGGAACTAGCTTTGTATCCGTTCTACGTACGGGGTGAATAAAATATATATCAAATCAAATCAAAATCAAATCAATTTATTCATCACAAAAATTCATAATACAGAGGCTGAATATCAGCAATGAATATGTGACATGTCAGTACAAATCATGCATTATAAATACACATAATAAATATATACAAATATTAAGATTACAGTTGACAGGATAAAAATGAATTTATGTCATAAGGACAAAGTGCAATCAGTTTTTCTGAAAGTTTCTTTTTAAAATTATTAAGGCTCAAAGACTGGTCTGTGAAATAAAAGGACAATTTGTTGTAGACTTGTATGCATTGATAATAGGGTCCATTGTGAAACAAAGCTAATCTGTGGCTTGGAATTTCCAAAAGTTGTTTGTGTCTAGTTTCATAACTATGAGTTTTTTTACAGTTTTCAAATAAATAAAGGTTGTTTTTAATGAAAAGTGCCAAGTGTAAAATATAAAGAGCAGGAAGGGTCAAAAGTTTGAATTTTTTAAAACTGGATCTACATGATTTTCTTGAGCTAATGCCAGCAATGACTCTGATGGCCTTTTTTTGTTGTTTAAAGATATATTTGCTAGAAGGTGAATTTGCCCAACACAACAAACTGTAAGACATAATTGATAAAAAATAACCATGGTATACTAACATCACTGTCTTGTCATCGCAAATTCTTCTAATAATTCGGAGATTAAATATAGCTTTATCTAGTTTAGCATATAAATGGTCACAGTGGTTATTCCATTTTAAATTATCTTGAACTGTCAGTCCCAGAAAATCTACTGATTTACAGACAGGAAGGTCAATGTTGGACAAGCGTCTACAGCCTGACTGATCACTTATTGCAAACGAAAAAAACTGGCCAGTAGCCACTGAAGAAGAAGAACCATCTTGTTGATGACTGCGGTCTGTCGTCTGTTACTTAGCAGCATAAACAAACATAAACAAAGTCAGACTCCTTATAACATAACCTCAACCCTCAAAACCAACCAACATTCTGTTGTATATTATTTCACCTTGAATAAATATAAGCTTTTTTTAATGTTGACGTTATCATTGATCTTTTAGTTCTTAAAATTATTGCTACACCATTTGTTACTTGGATTTCCAAATTAATAAGTTAGGTTCAAAATTAACTAGACACTTTCATACTTTCTTGGATATGAGGATGAGAGAGGATTAACCTAGTTTAAACCTACCAGGATAGTATAATTTTATGTCAACAAACCAAATTTAATTCTGATTAGATGAAACCAATGACAAATCTATAACATTAGTCCTAATATATTGAATTGTCCTCTGCCTCTATGCTAGGCTTGGCTAGGAAATATGAACTGCATGGGTTGTAATCACTGTTTTTAAGTAAATTTAATTTGGCGTAAATTTGTAATTTCTTCCATTTATAATGGTTTACTTGGGATGCAGTTAAGTCAAGTTTGTAACATAACGGTAACTTACAGGCATGTCTGACAGATTAACTTATACATTTAAAAAAATTTGACCTTAAACGAAATACCTTTTAGTTTTTACTCAACTTAAGTTGACTGTAAGCCATCACAAGTAGGCATATATACATGCAAACCAGTGCAAAAATATGTGTGATGAAAATGAAATATTAATCTCAAAGAGTATTAAGCAATCTTTTTAAAACACACATTTTCTTGGATCATTGTCTTTTTGGACAGTTAATTTTAGGCCTAATGTTCCGTCGTCAAAGCAACGAAAATGCCCTATTAAAGTGGTAAACTTACCTATCTACAAAAATCAATACAACACAATTTTTCAACTTAAAATTACAAATTTTTGAAGTAGATTGGAAAACGTTGCCTCTTTTATTCACTTCACTGGAATTGGGGTTTGTAATTTTTATTATTATTTTATTGTTTATACTTCAATACATTTCAAGTAGGCCTATTCAAATTCAACCTTTTTATTTTTGAAAGGGAATATAAGATGGTGTGTTGCTAGCCTACTTAGTGGTTAGGTAGTGTCTCCGACTATAGAGCAAGAATGACAGGTTCGATTACTGACACATCCACAACATTTGATGGGTTTGGACCACTTTACCTTAAATGTTTTTGTGATTATCAAGATGCCTCTGGTATACAGAGAACAGTGACAAAAACAAAGATAAAAATTTAGAAATTCATTCCAACTGCAATTTTTGTGTATAGCGGCCACTATTAGAGTGATTAAACTTAGGTCATAACAAACAGTTTACAAGTAGGCCTACATCCTTCATTTTGAATCCAATGGTATTATACAGGAAGAACTTTTCCAAAGACAAATTTCCTCCCACCAAAAAATACTGCTCTAACTTGGCAAAGGTCAGATTTTTAACAGGAGAGGGCAAATTGTATAACACTGGGTTTACACCAGACCACAAATTATGTTTGGGTACTTTGATGTTAAAGGGGACATTAATTATTATCCATGATTTTTTTTCGATATATCGATATTTTTGTTTTACTTCACGATCCGTATTCCTTCTGTTTTAATATCTTCAAACGCATTGAAATTACAAATTAAGAACTAACCTTGTTTAGGCAGAAATAATGGCCCAAAGGCCTATATTGGATTAGGAAATGAAACTATTCTAAACTAACCTAACATAACTAACCAAACTTGCTGTAGGCTAGGTTACCATTTCAAAATTCCGTTTGATAACAGAAAATGCATATGGGGAATAGGCTATCAAACGGAATGTTGAAATTATTTTGGTTTGTTAGGTTAGTTTAAAACAGTTTTATTTCATTATAATATTTTTTTAATTGCTTGTTGATACTAAACAAACAATATTTATTTAGTTACTGTATCCTTATCGTAGTTGTCAACTGATATGTTTCAATTTGTTATAATCAATATATCGGATAGAAACAAATCAATAGCCTATATCGATATACTTATTGTTTGTACAAACAACCCAACGAAAATATCGATCGATATATCCATTATTCGATATATCGTTTGGTTAGTTAGTTAAGGTTACTATAACTAACCAAACGACATATCGAATGAAACAATCGAACAATCGATACCTATTTTCATTCGGTTGTTTGTGACAACAGATTCGGAAGTCTACCCGAAAATTGTATTACAATCTCTCAACAGTTTCATCCATTGCACTTTCATTAACTTATTTAGCCTGCATTCATGTAAGTTAAATAGCATTGCCTATGGGGAAAGACTCAACGGCCATTAAAATGTTTAGATCTTTGCTATGGAGTGTAAAATAATGCTAAGGAGCAAGAATTAATAGGCTTGGCCGGAAGGTTAACCACGATAGATATAATGCCTTAATTAATGTCATCTTTTTAATTATCATTAAGAATAACATGTAAAAATTGAATAGGCATAGACATACACGAAAAAAACTTTAAGGGGCAAAATTACAAAAGGATAAAAGTACATTTTAATAAAGTTTAGTAACATGCTATTTATTCACAGAAATGGATTTTAATTTATACATTAAACATTTATAACACTACCCACAAAATTAATATTTTACATAAGACTACACAAAACTTTGACAAAACATAAATAGGCCTAGCTTATCACAACATCTAAGTTACATGTCCAGCGATCATAAATAAATATCACAATAAAAATAACTTCTTTTTAATCTTTACATGGAAACAAAATGAATAATTGCAATGAAATAGACAAAATCGAATTACTACACTAATAATTAATAAATTGATGTAAAGGAAACAAACAAACAGCTAAACCAAAACATAGCCGACAGCCAGAACGATACGTCGTCAACGTCACGTCACAAAATCAAGCAGACAAAAATTGGTTCTTCTTCTTCAGTGGCTACTGGCCAGTTTTTTTCCTTTGCAATAAGTGATCAGTCAGGCTGTAGACGCTTGTCAATGTTGGTGTTGGGAACTGCAAAAATTAATTCTTTGGACCTGTTTGAGGAGGCGGAAAATTCTAATATTTTAGTCTTGGCATGATTTAAACTTAGACCGTTCTTGCTCATCCAGAAACTGATGTTTTGAACAGAGGAAGAGATATTAACTGCCAATTCATTTTTGTCTTTACCTTTGACTATTGCTGTTGTGTCATCTGCAAATAAAATTAAATCTGAATTTACATTTGAAAACAAATCGTTGACATAAACTAAGAACAAGAATGGCCCAACCTTTGAACCTTGAGGAACTCCCAAGTGTACTTTATTCCAATCAGAAAAAACTGAGTTTCCATTCAAGGTATTAATCTTTACTTTTTGCAACCTATTTTGGAGGTAGTTGCCGAACCACAGGACAACCTCCCTACTCATACCATAACATTCCAGCTTTTTTAACAAAATATCATGTCTAACATTGTCAAAAGCCTTGGACAGGTCACAGAACACACCAGCAGTGCTCTGCGACCTATCCAAGGTGTCCAAAACATTTGTTATTAATTTAAACATGGCTTGAGTTGTTGAACTATTTCTTCTAAATCCAAACTGATTTGAATGTAAAACATGTTTCTCAAAAAATGGAACAACTTGTTTCAGTACCACTTCTTCAAAAACTTTAGATAGCACAGGTAACAAGGCCACTGGTCTATAATTATCAATTGACTTTTTATCTCCTTTTTTAAGAATAGGAATCACTGTAGAGTGTTTAAGTTTTTCCGGGAAGTCTCCATTTCCTAGACTTTTGTTTATAACAAAAGTAAGAGGCTTAACAATAAAAGATGCAGCAGCTTTAATTACAGGGGCCGGTATTTCATCCCACCCTGCAGAATATTTACTTTTCAGAGACTTAATGGCATCTAGAACATCTTTTTCATTTACTAATTTAAATTTAAAACAATCAG